GAGGTTACATTCAAAAATATCCAAAAGAGCTTCCTGGCACCTGGGAAAGCCAAACAGTAGAGCATGGTATGAATAATGTTTTGCAGATCTAAATTAGCTGCCCAGCGCTTGGGTACTTTGGTAAGTGCAAGATGGGGGAGAAAAATGATACCTATTAATATACCAAATACTTTAATATTTTACCAATAGTGTTGTAATAATACAATTTTTAAGTGGAATTTAATATTTTATAATAAGCTCAACTATGAGAAATATTTAACAATAATTTATATATAACTATCTGGTCTTGCTGACAGTATTCAACCCATCCTTCTACTGTGGCTTGCTGATTTACATGTATGTTTTTAAATCTTGCTATGTTAGTACTATGTAGATTGACTGAGAAATCAATAGGAGAGACCTGTCTGCTGCATCTGCAAAACTGGCAGGTGTGATCAAAGATCATAATGAATATCTTGTGCTGTAAAACTTGTTCCATATCTTTTCACATTAGTTTTGTGACCTGTGATGACTAACATGTTTAAACCTGCCATTTGCCAATTCCATGAATGGAAACAATGCTCTCGGCTCAAGTTACTGGGCAACTTTTGCAGTAGGTTTTGTGAAGTCTCAGTTTGGAGTTGCCTGTTACAAGTTCTCTTGCTTTGATTATGGGATTGTTGTAGCGCTCTCCTTTTTCACTATCCAGGAGTCAACTTGGACAACAATCTGGTCTAGTATTGGCTTACGGTACTTCAGCAGCACAGTGCCTCATCCATTTTTGTATGTCACAAAACTCTGCATTGAGTCTTTGTAAAGTGGACTGGAGACTGGGTCCAGTCAGGGAGAAGCAGATACGCTTGATTTTGCTGGGTGATGCTTCAGGCACAGGAGGTCCTCGTTGCAGGTTATAGCTCAGCTGCATAGGCAATTGTGCCAGCACAGTTCAAAGGCAGCACAGAGGCAAGAATAAGTAGCAAAGAGAGTGAAACAAGTTGAAAAGGTGGGGATGAGAATACCATAATGCTGATAATGCTGCCTAACCCACACATCCATTTAATATGGAAAGTTTACAAGTACTTCTGACAGCTAGCTTGCTACCTCTTAAGCTACTATTTTATTATCTACAAGAATGTATTTAACACACATTTTAAAAGCTAGTTTGGATGCTTATTTTTCTGACATAGCAGTGTTAGAGGTTTGCCCTGGATCACCCTATCTGGCCAGTCAGTGTGTGTTAAAAACTAATGGTGGTTGTAGATTCATAGCAGGTCTCTTTACTGCAAGGTTTGTATGCACATTTTTTTCCCTTTTGTTTTAAGTTAAGCAATAATAACAAGTCATGCAAATGCCCAATTTCTGAATGCAGCCTTCAGTCTGTCAAACTTGCTGACATTAATTTGGTGAAAAAATTCTACTGCAGATGTAGCCTCTACCAACACTTTACATTATTTGTAGAATAAGTAAGCTGAAAATTTAAGGAGGTGCTTCAGACTATTTTGCACCCATAAGAATAGAGTTAAGTTTGCAACCTTCTTTTGCCACCTTCATTCACTCAGTTCCAATGCCGTGCTAGCTGGAGTTGCAAGAAGCAGACAATATGATCTTTATTTTTAAATAATTTTAATAAACTGAACATGCAACATGGTTCATATTTTTTAACATAATTATTTAATTAAAGTGCTTGAGAAGACACTATATTGACTCTTTTTTTTAAATAAGACAATAATTCTCTATTGTTTTTATCATTCTTCAGCTTTTAGGAAGAGGAAACACTGACATTTAGTGCTATTTCTGAATAAGGGAAAACTTTAGGATCGTTGGACAAATTGCCCCTCCATAAGCAAATCCAAATGTCCGAGCTTTGCATGAGCAATGGCTAAGTACATATTAGCCTACGTATTTGCTTACGTTGTCCCTGTACAATCAGCGTGCACTATAACTAAGTGCTTTTATACTTAAGTATGAATCAATCTGCGTAAAGTGAAATTCCGATCTCTGTCATTTAACGTGATTCTTTTTTCGACTTTGCACACAGAGTGTTGGACTTAGGCATTTTATTTTGCCACCGTAGTGACAATTTGTTTACATTTTCCAATAAGAACAGTTCCATTTGTGGTTAAGTATAAGAAACGATGGCAAACAAAAGTTTGGAAGTAGAATACCCAGTCCATCTTCCTACAGGATATCACATGTAGCAAACCCAAGAGCGTTCTGCGCAGTCTGTTCCTGCAGATCCCTGTTGTCTTTGCTAGGTCATTGCCTTACCAGTTCTGCTGCTGCGTTATTAATTGCTTAACGAAGGTGAGTTCTTCACTGTTGAACTTGGAGTTGCAAAACCACAAGGCCTTATGCTGCACCTTTTTGTCCCTTCTGTTGTCCTAAGGTGGCTGGAGAAAGATACGTCTACAAGTTTGTTTGCGACCCTGAAGCGCTTTTCTCCATGGCTTTTCCAGACAACCAGCGCCCCTTACTGAAGACTGACATGGAGCGCCACATCAATGAGGAGGACACTGTACCTCTGTCCCACTTTGATGAGAGCATGGTCTACATGCAGGACGGTGGCTGCTGCAACACCCACCCCTATAACGAAGGCTATGTCTATTAACAACAGTGACAGTGAAGGGGGTGTTTCGCCCCTCCCTTAGGCTTCTCCTCTTTCACAAGACCCAGAGGAAAGCTGAATCGACTTCAGTTTGTTTTTTAAATAGTACACTAAAAGGGGCTTTTCCTGTTGCATTACTCCGATGGTCTGCCATGGACAGCGCACTTTATTTGAAAGGGGAGGGTTGGAACTTAAATGTTATTCTGTGTAACAGGAGGAAAAGGGTGGGTTTGCTTTTTACTTAAGTTTGGGAAGGGGACATACAGGTTTTAAGTACAAAAAAGCTATATCATGTCTGTTTTGTTTCATATCAGCATAAGATATTGTACATTTTCTCTGGGTAACCGTAGTACAGTTAATTCTCATTGTGCAAAATAACCACTTGATGATGATATCAGCACAGCATGCCTAGGGCATTTGTTTCTTGCCATTCTTAATTGTCTTTCTGCAGTTATAAAAGAGAAGCAAAGCGTATACCACAGCATTTAATTTAGAAGCTTGCAGTGGCAGACCTTGCACCTTGCCTCTGAAAACAACCAGATATCTCAAGAGTTTTTTTCCTTTTTTTTTTTTTTTTTTTTCTTTTTTGTTTTGGTATGGCCTCAGAAAAAATCCTGTTTAATGATAGGGTGGCCGTAAATACAGTGACCAAGCAAAATCCCTGACTTCAAACTGCAAGCTGCATGCTGTATCTGGTGCCATGTTGCTATACATACATGGCCCATGCTATGGCTTAGACCTTTCAAGATCCATTTGAGGGTAGTAATTACATGTGGGAGGCTTTCTGATGATCATGTCAGCATTAAATACAGGATCATGGTCAGGAGGGAGAAAACATTTTGTATCCTTCCATTTCCTTTGGTACATAAATAAGTTATTTAATCAATAGGAATTAACTGTACTAAGTCACATATCTAATTATGCTGTTTAGACACAGCAAGCACTCCTTGAGAAAAATATCCAATACACTAAATAGGTACTTTAGTAATTTTTAGACACGGTACCCATTAATATGCATTTAAACCTTTTACTGCTGTGTTATGTTGATAACATATATAAATACTAGATAATGCTAATGCTTCTGCTGCTGTCTTTTTCTGTAATATTCTCTTTGATGCTGAATTTACTATGACCATTTATAAGCAATGCTGTAACTACAGGTAGCATTTCAGGACAAAATAGATGACTTGAACCATTTATTGCTTAGAAAATAGCTTACGCCATAGCTGTGCTATAAGCAGCTTTTATGCGCATCCACAAATGACTAGTAAGCTTCAGCTTGCTAAGGAAAGCTCTGCAGAACCTTTTGTAATTTTTGGTGGAATAGAGGCTTAGATGAACTGTCAAAGAATACCATGAAGTCGCTGTATGACGTTGTAGTGCTGGCACTGATGTTACCAATCAACTTGTTTTGGACACTAAATGTAAATGTGATCAGATATGCTCAGAAGACAATTTAAATTTTGAGGGGTTTTTTTTGTTGTTATTTTTTCAAATTGTTTTATTTTTTGAGAGGGGTAATCTTGAACACAAGCCACACACGCTATTCTGTATGTAAAACGAAAAAAAAAAAAAGCCCTGACAAAACCTCCAAAGTTTTACATATTTATGAGCACCTTTTCTGAAACATAATATTTCCTAGTTTGAAGGGAGGGAGAGGGGGTAAAATCTGATTTCTTTTTTTGCCCAGTGAAATTTAAATAGGTGTTATATGGAGTACCTCATTGTCCTATATTCCTGAGAAGCAGGAGGAAAATGAATGCATAACCATAAAACAACGAGAAAAATTTTCATCATAATGGATGGATTTCAAAGACAATCCTAGGTGGTGGGTTAATTTTCCATCCTCTGTCAATTAAGACACTAGTTAAGCGATGAATATTTTAATATGCAATTAATCAAAAGTAAAGAAGTAGTGGTCACTAGAAACCACAGGTGCATAAAAAACATTTGGGCAGGTATTTAATTTACTCAGATCCATAAGACAACATATTTTATGGGAGTGTATATACGCTTTAATGTGTCACCTAATTCTGTCATCCGTAAGTCTCAATGGCACTTAAATTTTCGGTGATCAACCCACTATCTGAAGTCTAAGATTGCAGAATTAGCAAAAAGGAAAGGGAAAAGGTTAAGTAAGATTGTTTAAAAAAATGTGGTTTCCATTGAAATAAGGTTCAAATGAAACATGCTTTGATGAAAAGTCCTTGGATTGGTTTTGGTTCTTTAATGTCAGCATGGAGCGCCTCTTGCCTGTGGCAGGATGTGGGTGTTTGGGAAAGGGGTTGGACAAAAAAGGAAAAAAAAAGGAAAAAAAAAAAAAAAAGAGGAAAAAAATGCATCAAATGTGTAATATTTAAGAAGAAAAATATATATATATATCTGTATATGGTAGTGACTCACTGAACAAAACAAGCAATCAGACCAACATTACATGATCTCTCAGCAGAAGATATAAAAGTCTTTCACTGAACTGATTAACCCTTTTTAAAATGTACCTAAGAGGTTTATTTAAAGTCTGTTTTTATTCCACTTTTTTGTTTGTTTGGGGTTTTTTTTTTTGTTTGTTTGTTTGGGGTTTTCAGGTAGAATAATAAATCTGGCAGCTGATTTCTGCAAGATTGTTGTGTATTGGATTCCTAACCATTTGGACTGGAGAGGCCCCTGCAGTAAGGTTCTTCTTTTGGAAGAGGAGATGATGGTCTGTTCCCGGTGCCTAGAATGGCTTCCTGCAAAATGTAACCAAAAAAAAAAAAGAGAAGTGAGGAGTATGTACAATTCATGTGTATATAAGTTATAGCCAGGAGTTAGATTGCCAGAGCATCGTATTTGACTGACAAAAGGGAGGAGGATGGTCTATGTAAGTTGGGAAAGATTGATTCCAGCTAAGAACACTTACGCATTTTCACACAGCATTTTAATACCCTACTGAATTTGAATGTGGGGTGTTTGGGGCTGGGGTGGGTGTGCTGGGTTTTTGTTTAGTTGGTTGGGGTTTTTTTTGTTTTGTTTTTAAGCTGTGCCACAAGTGGAGGGAAAACGCAGGCTTCACCTTTGTTTTTAGGAGGAGCTGTAATGGAGTTAGCTTGTGCGTGTTTGCTTGTGTGTCTTTTTTGCTGTCCAGAGCAGTAGGCAGCCAAGGGTAGTGCTACTGCGAAGCAAATCTGGGAGGCATGACTGCAAGACCCACGTGCTGTGGTACAGCTGTAGATGCTCGGGTTTCCTCTGCCGTGACAGTTCAGTTGCACTGGTAGCTGAACAGAGGTGAAATTAGGCTAGGACTTGGCAGATCCCCTCAGAATCCATTTGGGAGAGTTAAGATTACAGGTTTAGGGCAACACACAAATTTTGCTTTAGGGATATGACTTTCCATGACAGAGAGCCTAAACCTTTTCTCTCCAAGGTCACACCAGTCTAACTTTCCCACACACCAACTACGGTGCAAATCTTAACATTATATTCTCTGAAAGCATGAATTTCATATGCTGGTCAGACGAAATCTGCCTGCTTTACTTACTGTTGGCTGCTGTGGTAACTAGGGGAAAATTGAGATACAGGAACATTAAGGATTGTTTTCTCCAGTAATTCCCTGTGAAGAGCCCTTTGATCAGAATCTTTTTGTCTTTGGGATTCTCTGGTGCCTGGGACTATTCCCCAGGGATTAGTGCTTAGAGTTTTATTGCCCTTGACATCTGACTGGTTTGGGCTGCAAGTCCATCTTCACAGGACGATATCATCTAGTAAATATTTTTGCCTTGGTTGTGGTTTTTTGTTTGTTTGTTTTTTAACAGCAGAAAACAGATCAATGTGTGCAAAAGGTATTATGAGGAAATCTTTGAATTGTTAATGGCTGTACTTTGTCCTCTGAAGAGCATTAGCTTCAGTTCATCTACTACAGGTAATAGCACCCATGAACAGCCCTATTCAGTGCTTACATTAATAGCACTGAGGACTTTTCCAAATAATCTCCTTCAAAGATGCTTTGGGAGTCTTAATTAATATGGTATCTTACACCCTAAGAATCATCACTCTGAAATACCCCACTCGGATCTAGCTGTAAGAGCCTAGGAGATTAATTTCTCAGTTCTCTTCACTGGTTGGTTGGAGGTTTTTTTGTTGTGTGTGGGGTTTTTTGTTTGCTTTTTTTAATCAGAAGCTACTCTGCTTGGAAATGAGGTAACAGCTGGGAGCAGTTGCCTATGCCTCAGAAACTCCAGTTCAAAGTCCCCTTGTTTTGCTAAGATACCAGGCTGAGAACTGGAGCATCTGCAATACATGACTGAGCCCTGCCCTCCTTGTTCTCTTATGGAAGACGGAACTACAGTGCATTGTCTTCTGCTGCTTCTGCTACAGGAGTGGTACTCTCTGGCAGAGCAGGGGGATGGAAAGCTAGGGGCAGTAGCATTTCAGATCTACAAAGTTACCCAGAGGATGTCTGTCAGATCCCTAAGAATCACGAATGCAAAGTGCTGTACCTTACCACCCAGCTTTTGTGAGTGTGTAGGTAGGTAAAGTTAACTTCATCTTTTACTTCAGGAGGTTGAAGTATTGGTTTCCCCCTTGAACACCAATCTGATTTCTGTGGGAAGGAAATATCTGTGCCATCTTCTTATGTAATAGTCTGAAAATGCCTATGAACAGTCTTGTTGACATTTTCCCAAAGAACTATTTTTGTGTGAAAATGACACAACAAACATCACCAGAAGAAGGGGTAAATAAACTCCAAGAAGGTATCCATACATCATGTTCTCCAAAACTATATCATTGTTTACCCTAGAAAGGTATCATCTCTTTAATACTGCTGCAGTATTATCCTTATTATATACCTCCATTGGACTGACCTCAAAAATACACAGCATACCCTGAAGTTTTTTTGGGAAATGAGCTTCCTGGTGTTAATAGAGGTTACACAAAGGTACCCCTGAGGCAGGGTCACAATCAAGCATTTGGATCTGGTAAGTTATAATTCTGTGTCTTTGCTCTTGCAAAGCTCTGTGGGGCATTTCTGCCCATGGTGATGCTTTTTAGTTGCATGGTAGAGAGGTAATTACAGCCATTGTTTTGGTTTGGGGTTTTTTTTGTTAGTTTATGAGTAGCTATGGTTTGTTTTGTTTCAGAAGAAATGTCTCTGTATCTCCTTCTACACTCCAGGTAACCAGGTAGATACTTGGGGTCCAAAATAGCATTTTTGCTGTGTAATCCACAGTACAGGCTACGGCAGTTCCTTGCTGCTGACCTAAAAAGGAAAGAGTAGAGGTCATTTCACTGTTTTCTTTCCCCCTTCCCTCAGTGATAGGACCCAGCTGATCTATCTGAAGATAGTTTGAACCAATTCTTCACTTACCCATGATGTTTTAGTGAACAGTGTGCTTGTTCGTTAGTTCAGTGGCACTTTATAGAAGCTCAGGTACAGGCAGTTGAGTTAGATGTGCTGCAAAGGGCTCTCTGTGGTGGCTTTCAGTCAAAGCCTTGCATGGGGAGTGGCATATGGCTACACGACCTAAATAGAGGCAGAAGGAGGTGTTTGTGCAGAGACGCCAGCTCCTCAGAGCTTGAGACATTTGCTGAAATATGCAGTTAAGGCTGCTCCTGGCTGGCTGAGGTGAGCCTGCCCTGGAAGACCTGGTGAGGAGCTCTGTGTGCATGTAGAAAGCCAGAGAAAGCGTGATCCCGGCATGCCTGGGTGAGGCACAGAGATGGGGAAAAAGTCTGTCGGGGGCAATCTGGCCCTACTAACTAGCTAATCCAGACGTGATTAGTACAGGAAGGAGGAGGTTATATGACCAATATAGTAAATCACAGAGATAATTATTTGAAAGACATGCTGCAGGAGAATCATAAGAAATTATGGAAAGTAATAAACTCTGTAAACAGCAGCAATTTTTAAGACCCAGTGCTTGTGGGAGTCCTTCAGGAAAAGGAAGAGAGAAAGTAAAACACAGAAAAGGACAATAATATTAAATGAGAACAACAGGAGTCAAATCATGAACTGCATTAGGGGACCTGGAAGATTGCAGTGTTTTAGATAAGGAAGGGACTAAGATAAGTACAGAGTCAGTAAACTGAGATAAGAGCAAGAGAGAGAAGGTAATTGGAGGCAGTGCACATTGTGGTCAGTGGGCCAAATGTGTTAGGCTAACAGAGCTG